TGAAGAACGCTGGTTAGAAGGACGGACCGGGTGGACCTGCCGTGTTTGGCCCACCACCCTTCAGCGCCCAGAGACCCGCTCTGGTTGACTGGCTTTCACTGCACCGCCCGGGGCCACTGAGAAATTTGGGGCAAAGGGTACTGGAAGAGTCCATTTCTGTCACCAGAGGAAGTAAACCCCACCCACCACCCTTTTCTAATCTCTGAAGCCTGGTATTCTTGGAATGAGCCTTGGGGGAGTGTCCTGGCTCCCGGAAACGTCCATTCTGAGTGGGGGGGGCGAGGGTGAGAAGAGCCCACCTTCCAAGTTCAATGGATCCGCCCACTTGGGATTTCAGGCCCCGGGCTTGGGAAAGTCCATGACGGATTCCAGGAGGACGGACGTCGCTCAGCTGTTTAATAACCGAGAGAGTCCATCCCTAACAAGGGTTGGAGGAGGGGGTGCCGTCTGCACCCAAACAACGTAGAGCGGCACCATTATCAACGACAATCGTTAGGACCGGGAGTTGGAAAGAGCCCTTTTTATGGAAGATACAGTAAGCATCTCAAGGGCTGGAGGAGACCATCTCTGACATGGGAGAAAACACTTTCTCCCTGAGGATAACACCATTAAAATAAAAAATAAAAAAATTAGCCCTGGCCGAGTGACTCAGTTGGTTAGAGCGTCCTCCCGCTATGTCAGGGTTGTGGGTTCGATCTCTGGTCAAGGCACATAAAAGAAGCAACCAATAAATGCATAGATAAGTGAAACAACAAATTATTGTTACTTTTCTTCTCTCAAATCAATAAAAAATAAAATTAAAAAGTTATATATATTAGTAGTGGGTTCGAACTAGTTCGCTTTTTGAGGGACGTGAAGAGAGACATCCAGAGTCCCAAAAACAGGGAAGGTCTGTCTCATAGGAAGGGAGAAAAGCCACCCTCTTCCCCTCCTCAACTCTGCACCTCCCTCTCACCCACCTTTTCCAACCCTTAGCCCAGAGCCTCTGGGTTTTTGACGTGGGTAGACGGGGAAACTCGGTCCTCTCCCAACCCCCTCCAGAGCCCATGAATTAGCCAAAACTTAATTTTTAAGACTGGGCCTAAGGCAAAGGCATTCTGAGGTCTAATGGGGAATCAGATTCAAGAGGCCTTAACCTGGAAAACATGGGACTGTTTGGCCGAGTGTTGGGCAGACATGGCGCCACCTACAGAAGTCGGTGGACTTTACCCCTATTGAATTAGAGCAGCGTTTGCCAATAGAAATACAGTGGGAACCACAGATAAAATTTTCAATTTATTCCAACAATATTTAAAAATAAAAAGCAAAGCCCTGGCTGGTGTGGCTCAATTGTTGGAGCATCGTCCCAGGCAACAGGTCACCAGTTTGATTCCCTGTCAGGGCACATGCCTGGGTTGCCTGCTCCATCCCCAATAGGGATCGTGCAGGAGGCAGCTGATAGATTTCTCTCTCACTTTGATGTTTCTCTCTCTCTCTCCTCTCCATTTCTCTCTCAAACCAATAAAAATATATTTTAAAAAATAAAATAAAAAGGGGGAAACTTGGATACAGAGGTAGGTAGGGGTGCCTGAGGACCACCAGAGTCAAGGGGAGAGGCCTGCCCCTACCACAGATTCTCCCTCACAGCCTCAGAAGGAACCAACCTTGCTGGCACCTTGATCTTGTACTTCTGGCCTCCAGAATGGAGAGACAATACATTTCTGTGGTTTAACCGCC